CAGTTTTTCTCAAATGTGTACTCACACAAGTTTTGTCGAGTCGAGGCCCTGTGCGCACAACAACAGACGGGCACGTTTGCTTGTGCAGCGAACATTTCACCGAAACAGTGGCGGTTCTGGGGGGGGCCAACGGGGGCCAGTGCCCCTGTAGCACTGACTCTGGCCCCCCCTGTGGCCCCCCCTCCGAACGTAGATTACGCAGTGGCGCAGAGTTGCAGACACGAAAGGTGGAACCAAAGTGCGTGGCTTAACATTCTAGTCGGACCCTTTAGTGTGCTGCACCACTTAAAATTGAGCGGGAAAATGAGAAGCAGTCGCAGAGCAGATTACCACGACACGAGTGCTATTTTGACACGACACGATTTATATTTTCAATGTAAAATCACAAAACGAAACAAGCCCCCAACAGTAGCATTTTTAAGTCTAATTCCTCTTCACTTAAACATTTAACGTTAAAAATGAAAAGAAAAACTGACATTACATCATATTTCTATATGAAAAAGAAACACATTTATCCAGACACAGAGAGAGAGTCAGATGATGATAGTGGTGAGAGATTTGAAGAGGAGCAAGTTGAAAGCACCAGAGAGGGAGAGTCAGAGGACACGGGATTCATTTATTTTCAGAGCGAGGACTCAGAGCAGGAAAGGGATACAAATGAAGATCCTGAGAATTAGGAAGATGAGACTGCAATAGAAGTGGAGTGTGAGACACAGACAGAGGATATTTGCGCTTCCACAAGCACTGGACCATCAGGTATGTGATGCTGAAAATAACACTATCCTGTTCTGTGTGTGGGTGCGTGTGCGTGTGTAACTTTTTTAGTATCCCATTTTAATTTTAATTTTTATTTAACAGGAACAATATATAAGACATTGCCTTCTAAAATTTGGATAATTATATGCATGTAAAACATTTAGCTTCAGTGTATTTGCAATTTTAGTCTCTGGTCAGGCTTGAGAATGTATTAATTTATATTTATTGAATACAATAAAAACTAATTAATACAATTAATAAATAGCATCAATCAATACATTTTAGACACTTGTATATGTCTGAGTGCCTCAGCAATCTAAGTGTACCGGGTTAGTGTATATGCTGTGTCCATGCAGAACTTGTGTTTACATTTATTTGGTTTGTCTTTGTCCACAGACATCAGTAGATGTAAAGAGGACCCGCCAATGCAGCCAGAGCTAAAACAGTTTCCCAGGACCCTGATGGGGGACAGGAGAAGGATCTTCAAGGCAGGCTGGTACCATATCCACCCCTGGCTTGAATATTCTCAACAGATGGACTCGGCGTATTGTTACGCTTGCAGATATTTTAGCCCTCCTAATACTGTTTTTTTCTCATCACTGTAATGTTATGACTACAATGCTTTGAAAGTTTGATGAAATAAAAAGTCAAATAATATTTCGAATCTGTCTTTTTAGCCCTGGGTTGAATGTGCCCCTCCATCAAAACCCTCGGCCCCAGCCCGGCCCCCTCAGTGAAACTGATCTAGAACCGCCACTGCACCGAAAAAGAGTCGTTAAAAAAAGACAGCTTTAGTTACATTTTGTCTCAGGACAGCTACAAGTGCAAATTTCTGTATTTGTATCTGAATTGAAAATCCCATCCAGAATTTCATAGTGGTGACGTTATCTTGTGAATGACATTGTTATTTGTCTTTAAAAGTATCACATTTTATGTACTCGTTTGAGGTCAGCACATTAAGCTAAACTTGCACCCCCCCGCCCCCCCATACAACAGTATATGTTGATAAGAGTATGTTTCTGTTTATCTTCAACTGTTTGAAAAGAAATCTCCGTGACATGTGAGTCATAAATTTGGATGGATTACAAGGAGGGAACATTCTTGCAACATGAACATGTTGCTTTTGCTTGCAGAATCCTGAGCGTTATACTCTGGAATAAAGTTACATTTAATGAAGGATTGATGGTGATGAAATGTAATGTGACCATCAGGGCAGGATGCAGGTGGCCTGACAAAGTCAGTAACATCAGAGTCGCTGCGGTGGTAAACATACTAAATCGGGGCTACTGTGTGTCATGGCATCACATCATTAAAAAGGGGGGGGGGGGAATCTTGCAAGCATGGACATTTTCGCACCTGCATTATTAAATAACCACAATGAGCTTCACATCCTGTATCCTGTTTTGTCTTACAATGTATGCTCTCATAGGATTTGATAACATGGAGAGGTTTTAGTCTTTGATCCAGGCAGTAGTATCCAATCTTTCTCCCTGTTATTAAATTTGCTTCACTTTCTCATTGAGTTTGTTCCAGTAACCGAATAACAGCGTTGTCTTTGCCATGCAAGGTCAGCGCTCCCTACACAGCTGGCTGGAGCCATCCAGAGTAGTGCAGCTCTGCACGTATACATCTCCTCCTTCTTCTCCTCATCTCCCTCTTCACACCACCAGAATTAAGACGAGAGGGTGGAAAGTCAAAGGAAGGTGGAAGGCCAAGTGGTTGCCGGCTTGGTTTGTTTCTGCTATTCCAGTGGCCTAAAAGCCCATTTTGTATGCACAACAAGATTAGGAATGCTTGCATAATGTCCAACATAATCCAAAAATCTGCCTTTACAAAGACAGACACATGCAGTTTTGTCAGAGAGATGTTCATTCAACAACATGTTTATTATTGTGGTTGTAGTTGACATCAAGAGCGCATTTGCAGGAAGAGTTTTATTTTTAAACCCCCTTCATGAGTTTGCACATGGCAGTAAGAAGATGGACTAGTCCATTGCATGAGAAGAAAAGGGGGAGCACATGACAGCAATGACAGATTAAGTATTTTCATGTGTTCTTAAGGAAGTGATTTTGGACTGCACACAATGATAATAGCTTTAAATTGATGACAACTTTATTAAGTCTCTTTTAATGAGACATTTGGGTGGCTCTGGACATCTCTGGGCCCCGGGCAATTGCCTGCGCATGCCGAATGTTAATCATCTCATGCCTACTCAGCAGTGATGTGGAACTGCTTTCCATGATATCAAGAGTTGCTTCTATTGTTTTTAGTTAGCTGAACTGCTGTTCCATGCATTACGGCCTTTATGTAAACCCTCAAATACTGCAAGGCCTTAAATCACATAAATCGTTTAGATTTTCAACCGCAACACTAGAAAATGCAATTTCTGGAGAAATTGGTGGTGAAACTGGAATGAAAAAAATATGGAATCATGTGAAATGAAATGGGAAGATATGAAGGGATATAGAATGATTTTGAAACATATTGAATAATATTGACTGATATGGAAAATATATGGGTTGATATTGTGAACATGTGGAATATTTTGATGAAAAGTGTGGAATAACATTTTAAATGATATGAAATGACAGGAATACATGGAATGACGTGAAATGGTATTGAATGATATGGAATGATGTGCAATGATATTGGTGAAAAATGTGCAATACATTGTTAAAAAAGTGGAATTTTTGGTCTGTTTTTTAATGTTGAAAATTGCTTCCAAGGTGAACGGAATGAACAAAACATGTTGAAGTTCTAATAGGAATGGTGTGAACATGTTAGGTTGAAAGTTTCATTGGGGATGCATGGGCAATTATTTGGTTAATAATGTACAAAGGTTTGATGCTTTTATTCTCATAAAATTACAATTTTATGTGAAAATTGCCCTACTTGTTCCTTATTTGTCTTGGCAAGGAGCTGTAGTTCATCACTCATTTGTTCAACATTTGTTCCTGCTTGCCTGCCTTAGGGCTTTGCATTTTTTAAAATTCAAATTGAAATAAAATGTTTTTGTTTCCTGCCTGCTGCTCAGCCTGACATAGGACAGAGCAAGCATATTGGACAAAAAGTCAAGAATAACAATGATTTCAAAAACTGGAAATGCATGTTTATTTATGTTATTTATTTATTTTAGGTGTAACCTTTGCTTATCCAGGTAAGGCAATTCAGAACATATTCTCATTTGCAATGCTGACCTGACAAATAGGGAAAATAACTCTCGGTCTTTAAAAGTTATTGGCCGAACAAATACAGATTTCAAGGTTAAAGAATCTTTGTAACCAATTGTGAACATGTGTTGTGTGTACCAACACCTGCTGTTCCATTGTGTTCGGGACAGTAGCGTGAGAGCGAGCAGAAGGTCAACTGTAAATCACATCAAACGTTTGGCCCTTGTAAAGACCCTACTGTCAACACACACACACACACACACACACACACACACACACACACACACACACACACACACGCACACACACACACACACACACACACACACACACACACACACACACACACACACAAATACTCCTATGTGAAGCCCCCATAGAGCTCCTCATAAACTGAGCAATCAGGTATGACAAGAAGAGTTGTTTCAAATTCCCAGAGCCCCCTCCAAAAAAGACAAAAAAATAACCTAAGGAAGTGAACGTCAACTTACGTAATTGAGGGCATGTAAGTATAGTAAATGATTCTCACATAGACTCTATCGACAGTTAATATAAAAAAACCTGTTCAGATGCCAGGTTTTTGTTATAAAAAACAATGAGACCAAAATAAATCGGTTACTCCCCCCCAAACCCACCCATTATGGTGACCTATAACCTATCTGTTTTCAAGAGGGGAAGTAAAAATAAACTACTGCGACAACATGGTTGCACAAGCATATACACCCTCTTGTAAATAGAGATGTGGCTGTGGTCAGGATTAACCAGTCTCGTCTATCTATCTATCTATCTATCTATCTAGGGTCAACTAATCCTACTATGCAATCTGTTGTGTCTATCTATCTATCTATCTATCTATCTATCTATCTATCTATCTATCTATCTATCTATCTATCTATCTATCTATCTATCTATCTATCTATCTATCTATCTATCTAATCTATCTATCTATCTATCTTTAACTTTCTGGCGCCACCGTGTGTTTCATGACCTGCATAAAGTCATTGCTGTCTTCTATTTTTGAACATAGGGGGCGCTGCGTCCATTTGACTGACCCAGTTTGCGGCGTCGCTTTCGTCTTCCTGATTGATCGTTGACTCCGTCAGAGTTCAGAGTTCACGCCGATGTCGTGTTGATACTCCCCACCCACCAAAAGCGCTTTCGATTTAGGCGGTTCTCCTACGAGCGATGTGATGACCTTCCTGCGGTTGTTCCTGCGGAGGCAGTTGCCCATGGCCGCGTCACACTTGTCCCGCATCGTCGCGAGACCGCCGCGGCCTCCTGGCGGTGTTCAGTCTGGCACCACGCGGCGGCAATTTACGGAGAAGGGGCCGTGGGGGAAAAGCCCGGCACCGGAGTTACCACCGCAGCAATATCAGCTCACTGCTCTCGACAAGGCGGACGCTTTGGTAAGCCAATGCGTTTACTGTCTTTGTCAGCTCCCGTACTTAATTCGTTGTGGGTTTAAATGAATTCACTTTTTCCCCTGGCAGATGCTGAGGAAGTCTCACGAAACAGGTAATACTGTACTAGAGGCGGAACACATCTCCTCTCTACAGTTCAATACAATGACAGCAAAAGCTGTGCCGGCAGTTCAGCTTGTTGTAAAGTTAACAGTTAATTCGTTAAAGTGGCGGAGAATGTGGACTGGTATTTATAAGGGACGGACATTGCCATTTTGAACATTATTAATTGTGCTTTCAGGTGAAATTTCAGGATGAACCTAAAATTCACTACAGTATATCCGTTACAGAGAAACTCTATTTGACTTTTTGAAAGCATAAGAGGAACTGCTCATTCTTTCAGCACAACTTGCTGTTCTCTAAAGAGGAGCTGAACTGCGAAATTCACTTAAGGTTATTGATCCATGAATCGTACTGTATCCTGTACTGCATTTCCAAGGACGTCCGCTTCTGTGCTTTTCTGACTTTTTCACTCAAAATTATGGCTGAATGATTTCGAAAAAAAATTGAGTGCAATATTCCCCCACAACATTGTGATTGTGATTCAGTATGCAATAATTTTTTCAAGGTCCTTTTCCCCATGTATCTGTTTAAACAAACACAAGTAATAGCTTAATCAGAATGACAAAAAACAACATCAGATTTATTATACATAAAAATTTGATTTTATGAGGTCAAATTAATTTGACCTCAGAAACCTTCCTTTTTATTTTGCATCTTTCCTTCCTCCATTCCTTCCTTTCTTTCTTTCCTTAAAACTGCTTTTCTGGCTTGCTTCTTTCTGTACCTCCCAATACCACGTTACAATTTCTCTTTGTTCTTGAGTCAAATTATTTGCCTTTATTATAAAACTTTAGTGTCAGTGCCGTTTTCATATAAATTGTTCTTCCCTATCGTTGGCAGTCATCAATATGATAACCTCCAGTACAGTGTTAATATCATCAAGTTGCTTGAATCATTTTTTTTGACTGCCTTGCAGGTTTCCTCTCGTGGTTCCGAAATGGTCTGCTTGCAACGGGAATCGGCGTCATCGCTTTCGTGCAGAGCGAAGTGGGACGAGAGGCGGCATACGGTAAATGAACAAAGCAGCTGAAACACGAACTCCGGGTGTGGCATTTCACAAGGAAAAAAATATCACAAGCGCCTCTCAGAAATTATAGTTTTTTTGAAATATCACATAATGAAAACTGCCCATAATTACATGTTTCGAAACAAACAGTTCTCAAAGGTTAACGTTCACATCACCATCCATCCTTCATTTACTGCCATGTAATAATACAATGTGTATTTTCCCGCAGCCTTCTTCATCCTGGGCGGCGCCTGCGTGTCCTTCGGCGGCGCCTCCTACGTGGGCAGCCTCTTGACCCTGCGGAGGCTGATGCTGCTCTCCGTGCCCGCCCTGTTGATCCAGGGCGCCGTGGTGGGCAGCGTGGGTCTTTTCTGGCTGTGCGCCGTATCCCTCTACATCGGCCGCCTGGAGGTGGAGATCATCCACGAGGACGACGACGAGGGTGAAGAGTGCCAGGAGTGCCGCGATAGACGCGAGCACGGCAGCTACCGAGGCCCGCCCCACGACAGGAGGCACCCCAATGCCGATGACGGGAAGAACAAGGGGGCCGACAAGTAGACGTCTTCCAGTCTGTGTGCGCGTGCGAATGTGTGTCTGCATGTTTGAATGCAGGCCGTGCATCTCACTACAAGCAAACCTAAATGTGGGTGTTAAAAGGGCCAAAGCCAACTATGGACTTAAATTACAGGGCCCCTTTTTTACTAGTTACCCCACGCATCATTATCTACACTCTCAGGCCACAACGTTAGGTACACCTGCACAATCTAATGAGATTCGTTATAAATCCAATTTTTTTGTGGTGGAGTGATATATTGTACTCAAAGCACTTCTGTTTCTGATGCAGAAAAATTTGACATCATTAACATCAAAATTTACTGGTTAATTCTACTTAAAATCTTTGACGGTGTCAATCAAAAATGAGAATTTGCATGTACAGTGGATTTGAAAATTCCACACATCCCTATTTAAATATCCATTTGTTGTGAAAAAAAATTAGACCAAGATAAGTGATTTTAAAACCATTGTGCCCCGTAAACTGTACAATTAAATAAAATGAAAGAGAGGGGAAGTAAAAATCAATAGCTGAGATAATTGGGTTGCACAAGTGTACATACAGTATGCCATTACCATTCATCTTAAAATTCATATTGGGAATCAGCACACACCTGCCACATTTTAAAGTGTCTCTGATTAATCCCGAATCTAGTACAAATGTACTAGTAGGCTTTTCCTGATATTTGCCTGAAGTTTTTTTCTGTCACTGACTGCTATTTGGAACTGTTCATAATTCGTTTCTGACCAGAAAACATTTGACCACATGTGTTGGGAGATTTTTTTTTTTTTTTTTTTATATGTCGGTGTTGGCACAAAACTTTTAGGCTTCTGCTGGAAAGCAAAAAAAAAAAAAAGTCACCAAAGGCCAACTAGAACAGGTGAATATTATTTTAGATTAATCAGAGGCACTTCATGACACTTGGTGACCAGTCTGCACTGAGTCCCGTTTAATTTTGAATTTGAATGTAATTGTTAATTCTGGCCACTAACTCGTCGAACTACATTATTTTATTTTATTTTTAATTCCCCTTGCTCAAAGATTTTAAAAAGTTTAAGTCTCACGTTTTTGGTAGGGGAAAGGTTGAAATGGTTTATCTTGGTCTCATTTATTGATATCACAAAAATCTGGCATTTATGTACACTTTTTATAGCCACTCTAGATTATTAAGTCATACCTAAATCGTGTCCTGTTGGTGCAGTTATGTTTACTAGGCTGTTCCGTTCATGTGAGCTTGTGGGTGAGTGCATGTTTCAGGTTGGGCTTTTTTAAAATGTTATTTGTAAATGCGATTCAACAAGGGCTTACAGCAACATTTTTTTTTTTTAATGGTAGAGTACGCATTTTCTTTTTCAAACAACTTTAGCACTTTGTTTAGCTCCTGTTGTATAGTCACAGTTTTTTTTTTCTCAGTGCAAATTTTCATAAAACCTTGAATCACAGTTGAGGAAGTGCAGTCTTGCAATTTCTCACATGGTGGTTGTACATGGTGGCTGGGGATTGATTTGTATTTATTGTTTACTGGTTGGTGTACACTCTACTGTCAGTGTACACATCATAAAGTGAAATAAAACATTACTGCTAAGCTGCTTGTTTCTTAGTGGTAACTCTAATAAAATACTTCAACAACAAACGCGAATCCATTGTGTATTTTTATGTACTGTCACTGGGGGCTCCAACACCATAATAAGGATATCGCCAACACTTTAATATGATCACTTTGGTAACGCTTCAACATGCAACACAACAGAGAACAAATATAAAGTCCATGAATAATACGAGAAACATAAAAACTGGGGTATTTTGTTGATATGACAAACATGAAGCCACATATTTATGTAACTATTAGCAGAGTTCTCCTGAAATGGGTCAACACAATGCATCACAGAACAAATATAACTTGCCTGAAAAAATATAACTAAAATAGTAAAAAACACATGCATGTTTCGTTCATGCATGGGAATCAGTAACCACCTGTCACCGGAAATACACACTGGGCCATTGCAAAAAAAATGTCCAATTAATTAATTATCCAATTAACTATCAAAATACAATCTTTTTTTTTTTTAGCAACGGATAACAAATAAACCAGATGTAAGAAATAAACCATACTTTTTTGCGTTCATCAAAGTGACCTGTGGCCCAATACCGGCCCGCGGCCCTGTGGTTGGGGACCACTGGTATACTGTACATCCTGCCACAAATCGCAACCTTGGGTGAATTACAGATTAGGCAGATGTGTCTTTTCATCTCACAGTTCTATGAGGAGAACAGAAAGTGTAAATGAAAATCGATGCCCACCATATTGTAAATATGAGAGAAGACACTTTCAGATCCAGTGTGTAAGAAGCAGCAGGATGTAGAAACTGTCCACACGCATGCTGTACATGTGTAATTTTTATAATGAGGGTATCATCTGAAAGAATGCATGAATATTTGAACTGCCTTCTGCTGTGTGTGTGGAGCGGGGTGAGGGTCTGTTTTGCGAAAACGCAACGACTAGTCAAGGGCGAAGGTCCGCGATATCATTCAGCGATCGATACGTCGGTGTTCACCTCCAGTCACCCTCCTTTTCCTCCTCTCTGTCGACTTGTATCCGGGGCGTGTCACCGGGAAACGCACCCCCTCACCCCCCACTACCTCTCGACCCCTTTCGACCACCGATGTCTATCCACTTAACTCTTGCAAAATTAATTTTCAGGGGATGTTGGCAGAGACATTTTTATAATGTAAACAAATATAAACAAAAGGCCCTAGGGTATTGCATAAAGAATGTGTAAATCACCGCCGAAAGTGGTTGTGATGTTAAATCGAATGAGTGAAACTTTGAAACTGTAGTAGAGTTCAGAAGAAGGTTTTGGCATTCTAATTAGGGTCACAATTCTGAACAGTGGTCACCAATTTTTGTTAAAAGAATTTGTGACCTCATCTTTAGTTTTGTTTTGTCGAGAAATGCGCCTGGCGCCCTTCCCGTCAAACCCCGCTGTCGGGCTACATGCCTTCCTGGTTCCCGCTCTGCTTTTCCCGCCGTCTCTGATCAGTTCCGATGATGATCACGTCATCACTTCAGGTCATTTCGGGCCAATTTGACATACAGTATGTCAAATAAAGGGTTAGCTGATTGCCCCTAAAAATAAAGATGTGCCCTTCCTTTGGCAGCAATGATTTGAACACCAGCTCAGTGATATGTGGCTTTCTGTTCATTAAATCCACCGTGAATCCCCTGTTGAATAGAGAAAAAGTCCTTAAAAATGGCTAAATTAGCCCTCAAAAGTCCTTAAAAGGTCCATAAATAAAAAGCAAAAATGGAAGAGTGGGAACCCTGGAATGTATCAGGGTTTCATCCTCTCTGTCCTCCTCATCATTAACCTTGCTTCTTCATCCTCCTCATCTCCCTCTTTTTCCTCATCTTTATTTTCCTCCTCGCTCTTATCTTTCTCCTCCTCCCACCTCCTCATCCTTGTCTTCATCCTCCTCATTTTCGTCATCCTCCTCCTCGCCCTCATCCTTCTTCTCCTCCTCCTATTCACCTCACCCTCTCCTCTTCCTCCTCCTCTTCCTCACCGGCTGCATCTGAGCACACAGGTCTGTTTGACATGCAGCGGGCTGGCGAGGCCTGGCGCGTCTAAAGGGCAGGGCGCCTACTGGCGAGAGACGCGCGCTCACTGACAAACACCGTCCATCTGCGACCTCCAGAGCGCGGGTTCGCTTGGAAAAAGACCGTCGAAGTTCAAGTTGAAAACAGCGCGGCCTCGCATGCGTCATCTTGAGAGGAGATTTCTCATGTGCGCACAGGTGCTAAATGCCAGCAGTATGGATCACAGGCTTACATTTGGAGCAGACCAGCTGTGACCAGTGTTTTCTTCCTCTTTACGTCGTATTTTCATTAATGTGAATGCAAGTTTTTTGGTATTTTTTGTTTGTCTATGATGTGCTTTGCAATTGGCTGGCGACCAGTGTGCCCTGCTTCTCGACCGAAGTCAGCAGGATGCTAACTGATGTATAACAGGTGCTTTGATTGTGTTAATACTTTAAGTACTGAATAAAATTATTTATGGATCATGATTGTGTACATGCTAGATGTATGGTGTCGATGATATATGCTCCTCTCTGTTTAAGTGCTTTTCTTACCATCTTGTGGCATCTACACACAATTACAAACGACAAACATGCTGCCATTTGGCACTGTTCACAGCAATCTGCACTTTACAATACTTTACCCCCCCCCACCCCCCCACACACACACACACACACGTTTTCACCTGTTTAATTGTTTACATTCTCATGAATTTTATCATGACTGCGTGTTTTTAGACAGAAGCTCGGTATTTCCACCAGCTCAGTGGATCAGCTGCCCTTGAAATCCGTGGTTCTTCAAGATATGCCCTAATTTAGTGTTTTGTGTTTTTGCACGCTTGGCTAATACTGTAAATTATATTCAGATTGCTTGCCAAACGCCTTTGTGGTTTCCCGGACAGTAGGGGGCGACATGAACTAAAGAAATCCAATTCACCAAGAAGAAGAATAAGTACAGGCACAAGAACGGTACCACATCCGGTTCATGAGCAAGTTTTTCCGCTGTCCACAAGCCCTGTTTTCAGTGAGTAATTCTAACATTTTAAACTGACTTTGCAGTTTATCTCTGAGTGTATAGATGTAGACAATTGCGGAGAGTTATTACGACACGTTGCTCCTTTAATTTTGTTGTTGTGACTCAACGTAAAATACAACGTCAAAGGAGGCAGTGAGCGAGCACGCCGCCGACAAGTAGACCTCAGCTGTCAATCAAAAAGCAAAAGCGAACAGCGTTTGACTTGAATACGATTCTGTATGTTTTCCACACCAAAGCTGCTATCAGCAGTGGAAGTGTGATGGCTTCACATCAGGGGGGGCAGATTTGTTTCAAAACTATTCCCACAAATGCACCCGTGACTTTGTTCATTTGTTTTAAGAAAGGAGGTTGGTCATTGTACTTTAGGTGTGGGGAGAGAGCCGCGAGTGGATCCTCAAACAGATGCATTGCGAGTGCGGACACGTTTGGAAATGGACGGGTTGAAAGTAAAAGTCTGCCACTTTACGAATAATGACTCAAATTAAAAAGAAAAAAAAGAAACAACTTTTTTATGGACTACAGTGTGTGACGTTCCACTTTTGTTTTGTTTTTCTGCCTGACCAGATTAGTCAGTTACTGGGCCAAAGGCGCAGCCGCCAGACTCGGAGGACATGCGGAAGGGACGCCAACCTGCATTTGGACACGTGTGAGTACTGAGCTGTGTGGTGTGCTTGAAGAGCTGATGTCTGATGTCACGTTGCACTACAAGGTGGAGGTGAGTGTGCCCGCCTGTCTGTCTCTCAACTTAAACTTCTGCTTCGTGTACTGCACAACAGTGTCAACTCCACATAAACAACCCGAGCATCATCAAGCACTTCTGGAATATGTTTTGAAACCTTGAAGTGGACCAAGTTAGTTTAAAAATGTGTCTATGTATGCATATATA